GACTTTATTCGCTCCCAATCCGCAAACAGGTGTTTGATACTCGGGGATTTCAATCTACCGAAGTTTGCTGGGCGGATCTTTCTTGCAACTCGGCGAAAGGTACTTTTGGGGCAGATCTACTTGAGCTTACGCTGCAAGTACCGTTGCATCAGTTCGTGGACCTCCCCACTAGGTACATGGACGCCCAACTCCCGTCTATTTTGATCTAGTGTTTGCCAAGTCACTAGACTTCGTAGGGGACAGCACTTACAGCTCTCGCTTAGGTGCTAGTGATCATGTTTGTTTATGGTTCAGGTGTAGTCTGACCAGGCGTCACCAGAGCATTGCTAAGCCAGTTCCAAACATATGGCGTGCTAATTATCAGACAATGCGTACCAAGACTACTGGGATGCGTTGCGAAATCTCGGTGGTTGATACGGTTCAGACGGCCTGGGATAAATTTAAATCTTATCTCACGGAAGTGTCTACTTCCTACATCCCGCTTGCGAGGAGAAAGGAGACACGGGCGCGGCCGCCGTGGATAGATGCCACTGGCAAGCACCTGCTCTAGAAGCGTTCTAAGTGCTGGAGGACCTACCGTGCGGCTGCATCAGCTAGAACCTGTGATAGATACCGCGAGGCTAGAAATAGGTGTAAACAACACTTAAGGAAAGCTCGGCTGTTGTACGAAAATGAATTGGCTGATGGAGCTTTGGAAAATCCGAAGTAGTTCTTCGCTTATGTTAAGAGACGCTGTGGTTCAACTTCGGTAATCCCAACTTTGATGCGGGCCGATGGAACTCGTGCGTATGCGGACTCGGCTCGTGTAGTTGGGGAACAGTATGCAGGGGTTTTCGTACGTGAGGTCGCGTTGACTAGCCTTGAACTTGTCCCCAGAGTACCTGAGGGTTCTTATTTAGCTGAGTTTACTGTGGTGGAAGCGCAAGTCCTTAAACTGCTGCAAGAACTGAACCCTTCCAAAGCAGCTGGACCTGATACAATTCACCCGAAGCTTCTGCATGAGTTGACGTGGAACTGAGAGGACCGCTGACGATGATGTTTCTGAAATCACTTGACAGCTGTACATTACCTTCAGAATGGAAGGAGGCTGTCAACTGTCCTATCTTTAAAAATGGCGACAGGAGTCTGTAAGCCAATTACAGACTAGTTAGTCTGACTAGCGTCGTGGTCAAACTTCTTGAAAAGCTGGTGAGAGATTCGTTGGTATGTCACCTGAATAGATTTAATCAACTCAGTAGTGCACAACATGGATTCCGGAAGGGGTTTCCGTGTTTAACGAATTTGTTGGTTGCTCGTGAAGCTTGGACCGAGGCAGTGGACAATAGCCACGTGGTGGATGTGCTTTATGTAGACTTTTCGAAAGCATTTGATAAGGTACCCCACTTGAGGCTATCACAAAAGCTGAGGTCCTACGGCGCATCTGGTCGCGCCCTTCACTGGGTATCTGCGTTCTTGCGGGGTAGAAAGCAGTGTATACGTGTGGGTCGCAGCTTATCTTTTAGGCAAGCGGTCCTTAGCGGTGTCCCACTGGGCTCGGTCCTTGGACCGATGCTGTTCTCCATCTACGTAAACGATCTCCCTGGAGAGCCTGGGGTATCATCCCTATTGTTTGCTGATGCCCTTAAGCTCTGAAATGTTGTAAATGTTCCTGGGGTTTTGAGGTCACATAGCATGCACTGGACAGACTCTGGGACTGGTCTACTTTGTAGCTATTGCCCATAAATCAGGCTAAGTGTTCCGTCCTTCGTATAGGAGCAACTTTCCCGCCTTCGAGCTACGCACTCGGTGGGGTCGAACTCCACCTTGTCTCCAACCAGTATGACCTAGGTGTCGTTCATTCCTCGTCTTTGCATTCTGGTGACAACTGGAAGAAGGTCTCAAGTAGGGGTTTCAGAAGGTTGTGGTTAATACGGCGTTCTTTCGGGTCTTAACTGCCGACATATTTGTGAAGCTGTGCTCAGCTTTCGTCCGGCTCCATCTGGAATACTGCGTCCAGGCTTGCCAGCATTGCCTTGTTCGGGACAACATGGAGTTAGAGAGAGTTTTGAGAGTAGGTACCAAATTTGTCGAGGGGTTACGGGGGCAATCGTACCCCCAGCGTCTACTTAGCTTGGGTATGTATTCAAGGCACTACCGACGGCTTTGATGAGACCTAATCCTTACTTACCGCATTTTAACAGGGAAGGTTGTACCGGACTTGAGCTGGCTATTTAACCCGGCTAGGTTGCCTTGTCTTCGCGGCCATCCCATTAAGCTACACAAGCCGCGTTCTGACGGGATCAGGACGGAAACTCGGTTATCGCGTAGAGTTATCGAGCACTGGAACTCGCTTCCAGAAAGTGTAGTCAGTGAACCTACCGTTAAGGGTTTCGCACATCAGTTAGACGCTCTTGGGTGGCAACACGAAACCTTTCCCTTCTCCTGACCATATCCATCTTCAAACTTTTAGTTCTTATTCTGTCATTCTCTTCACCCTTTGGTGTTATCCTTCATTTTAATGACTTTCATTCCTCTTTATCTTCCATTTACTTTGTACTTCTTTCTTACTTCACGTAACCTACACAGCGCGGACTGCTAGTGCAGGGAACGTGAGCAGTAATTGCTTGATCAGGGTGTGTTTCGGGTGTTCCGTTTTAGCTCTATCAAAAACTAGCACCTTATCATTTCCTGGCTCAATGATTTGCTCAAGAAGGAACACATAATGGATTTTCCTATCGTCCCAGTCCATCTGAATCTGAATCTGACCCTCCACCACGATTACTGCCTCCAGGAGACACTGAATCACTACTGGTGGGGACAAACTGCACGGTCTTTAAGGCCGTGCTAGGCTCAAACAGTGGTTCAACCCAGTGTGGAGCGAACCTCCTCCCAGTCTCCAACTTGTGCATGTCTGGTACGTGTGCTTCCCAACGTAGATAGACAGGAACGCCGGTGCCGTGCATGTTGAAGGAGTGTAGGCTGGCTCCGTTGCTGAAACGTGGCTGCCATCCACATGCCTCTCAATCTTATTCCTTCGGGTTTACACTGCATATGTGGTGTGTGGATGGAGCTGTGGGTGGTGCAGTGTAACCCCTCCATGGTCCCCCTGTGGGCAAAGGAGTCCTGTGACTGTCCTTTGGAGGCCACAGTGAGAGGCAAACCCAGAACCGGATATCACCGGTTAGTACGGACTTAATGCGAACCAGCTCACTCGATCCTCGTGGTCTATCGTGACGCAGACATTCGAATACTGGTGTGCAATCATGAATTGATGAAAAGTTTATGAGGAAAACTAACAAAACGTATGCAGTACGCAATTTCTTTTAGTTTGATGCACAAAAGGGATTCATTAATCTGGGTTATCGACATATTTTTTCACTATGTCAAGCGCGAAGTATAAGCTCACGTTCCTTTTAAGTTCATCCGATGCATAACTGCAGTCTGTATGATGGCTTCTTCAGTAGAAGTTGCCTGGTGTTTCTCAAAGCGAACTGATCACACTGGGGCACTAGAACCGGCTTTCTGCGAGAACTACAATTCCCGTATGACGCCACACTGATTATGATTAAAAGGAACTGCTTCACTGAATGGAGCTTCAGTTCTCCCATATCTGTAAAGATCACGGCTATCTTTCGCTTAATGTTTCAAACTACTGCACACAATCTCTCAATGACCGGTGTTCTCTGTACGTTGTCTTCCTTTTATTAGAAACGTTGTATTGATTTTGCAATAAATGCCCGTCCTCTGTGCCGCTACATGCCGGCGGATCACCAATCCCTCAAATACCGCGTCTGGCGGCTGGTCGTATCTACTCCATTCGAATATTACATAATGGTAATGATTGCCATCAACACCCTCATCTTGATGATGAAAGTGAGTTTGTCAATGATATACATGCTTTGCGTTATGACAACATAGCTTGTGATGCCTAATGGAATTTGTCATCGTCGTTTATTCAGCGCAAAATTCGGCGTAGATGCTCATCAATAAACTCATTCTACTAGAACGATCTGTTGGATCCTATGGTTTGGTCACAAAACCATCACGATGTGTCCCACGAATGATAAGGACCGTTGGGATTCTGGTCTGCAAGGTTTGCTAATTGGTTCGATTTCGCACAATGGATCTTACAAATGCCCCGTGAATTAAAGCGCTGTATACATTCACCCATATGCAATCGTTTCTAACCTTATGCTGTGGTTTAGTAAGATAGTGTAATACCATTGGCATATCACTTCAGAGCCGCTTGAGGTATAGTTCACCACAGTCATTACGGTGCAATAAAATACACGATCATTAAAATGTACGGAGACAAAAGCAATAAAAAGGCAATATCATGTGTTGTTTTCCATGTACACAAGTAGTGGATTCGTGGTTTGAGAAGGATGGGCAACCAAACTAGCCACAGAATCGCCACTATGGTCAGCTCCCGGCCATTACAACAAGTGTCCTTAACCAAACACGTTCATGGTATTACGGACCCCAACCACGGAGTTAGGCGGATAACAACCGGCGCCAAGTGCGATGTGAGAGCTTCGTACCCCTTAATTACATTATGCGTTGAACTGATTTCCTCATGGTTAGTATAGAATCTGCGGGCGCTAACGGCCAACATCGCGGCAGTCGGAGTGCTGGCATGTTCGACACTTGACGCAGCTTGACACGCAAAACAACGGTGCTGAGAAATGTACTTGATTTTCATTTGCGATAATGGTGGTGATGAACACGCTCATTTCTCACTCCTACTAGATTTGAGCCAAATTGCGAAGCGAGAGATTGTCCAAAAAATTGACAACTAAATTCCCGCCGTATTTAAACATACGCATTCCGCATGCCAATAAGTGTTTTTAACAAATTGTGTAAATCATTCGAAACAACATGTTTTGTTCCATTTTGGATTTTTATTCGCGTTAATTTATGTTTATTCATATTTATTCCTCTGCCGTCGGAACAAGACTGGACCTTAATGTGGTGCGACGGTTTGCGCACCTCATTGACCTATTGTGATATACTGGGTGATGCCTCCGGGCACATTGAAAGCTATTCCTACCAGGTTGATCAATGGTGAGAGATCAGACAAACTCAGTCTCCTGGTCCTCCAGGTTGGGGGTTTAAAATGGGATGGCGTCTATTTCTGTAAAACTAAATCACTGCCACCTCCTCACTGCCTTGCAGACAGGCTTTTGAGCCAAAGGCTTTGGATGAGGACCCTACTCGTCCTCCTGTCTAGGTCTGGGCGCCCTGGCAGTATCTCAGCCCACATATAACCATGACACCTACTTCAAAAATAAATTTCATCCTGCTTCGGCCTTCGCGCAGATTATCAAGCGTCGCGTTATCTGCTGCATACAGCAGGGAGGATAAGCGAAAACCTGATACTGCTGGCGCCTCCCTTCTTTCTTTTCCACCTTTTTCTCTTACTCCCATTCCGAGCCCCATTACTAACCTTCCTTCTATAGTTCCCAGCTTAATTGACAGCAACCGCAGTGCCACTGGAGTTGAACCATCTGCAGCCACCATCCCACAGCACCTATCGGACACCTGTGGGCAAAAGTCCCGTATAAGGCCACGCTACCCCGTTTCCATGGCGACATTCAAGGGTCGCACTTTAAGACAAACAGGTCAGCACGCTGCACTCGCACACACCTTGGACACACTGAGTATTGATGTGTGTTGTGTATCCGAAACTAGTATCAATGACCCTAACGGGGTTATTGAATTAACTGCACCCGGCTTATTCTCTCGTTATTGGTTGCACGCATCCAGAGACGCCGATGCAGCACTCACGGGTCAAGCTGGTGTAGGTATCATTCTATGCTCCAAGGCTAAGCCATCGTTGGTTGACTGCATTCCAGGGAACAGCCGTTTATGTGCAGCCCGTTTGGCGACATCAACTAAGGTAGATTCCCGAAGTAATACAAAACGCTGTTTGTTTGTGATTTCCACTTAGGCTCCCACCGACTGCAGTTCTAATGTTGTCAAGGACACTTTCTATCACGAACTGAACGCGCTATTACGCGGTGCTACTAGTTCAGACATTATAGTACTTGCAGGGGATATGAACGCACAACTAGGGCGTCTGAGCTCTTCAGAAGCTCAGCTGGGTGGTAATTGTGGGTTTAACTCCCAACGGTCCGACAAAGGTGAGCGTCTGCTGCAACTGTGTGTACAGCACCAGTTGTTTCTTAGTAGCACTGCTTTTAGACACAGTGGGCGCCGAAGTGCCACTTGGCGTCCTCCTGTAGCTGGCGAGCGATGGGCCCAAATTGACCACATAGCCATAAGTTACAGATGGGGTGGTTCCCTCCTGCATTGCTGTTCGAACTGGAGTGCCTGTATCGACTCTGACCATTCCTTGGTACGCTGTCGTTTCTCCATGAACTTTACCGGAAGGCGTACAAAGCGTCTCCTCCGATTGACAACGGAGAAATTGTCCCAGCCGTCGGTCAGACAGGCTTATAAGGAAGCACTGCATACCGAACTCTCGCTGTCTTGTCCTAATGACACTGAACATCAGTGGAATAGGATCTCGGCCGCCATGCACGACGCAGAAGCATCTGCTTGTGGCATTATCTATGGTCATCACACGAGTCACTAAATATCCGAGAGGTCGGTGAACCTGTTGGAATCTAGAAGACACCTCCCGGCTGGCTCTAGACACAATGTGACCAGACGGGATATTAGGCATGAACCAAAGCAGAGCGCACGTGCTGACAAGGAAGCCTGGTGGACCAGTAGGGCTCAAGAAATAGAGGAGGCGGGAGCAGTAGGCAATTGCCGCAAGCTCTTCAAGCTGATCCGCACCACTGGTCCCAGGAAATCAGGCGTCAGTGACACAATCAGAGACAGCGCGGGTGCGCTGATAAACAATAAGGGGAGCCGTATGACTCACCGGGCGGAACACATTCAAGATCATTTCAGCTGGCCCCCTGCTCCCGGACCTCTTCCTACTCAAGTGATGCAGGACGAGCCATAGACGCTTAGTTTAGAGCCTCCGTCGGAAGCCGAAGTCCGAAACGCGATCACAGCCCTTAATCGTTTTCGTGCCGCTGGCCCGGATTTCCACCCACCTGCACTATTTAAGGATGGAGTTGAGGTCCTCTGCAAAACACCGACCTCCCTATTAGAACGTATCTGGAACGAAGAGAGTGTCCCGGCTAATTGAAGCGAATCGATTATAGTGGCAATATACAAGAAGGGTAGTCGCACAGGCTGTTCTAACCACAGGGGTATTAGCCTAACGCCAGTTGTGACAAAATTAATGGCTTCGATTCTCGTTCGTCGCCGCACTGCGGAACAGGAATCACGGATTAGGGAAGAGCAGACTGGTTTCCGCCCAGAACGTGGCTGTATAGACCATATATTCACTATCCGGCAGGTGTTAGAGCAGCGCCACGCATACCGCAGACCGACGATAGCTGTGTTCCTCGATTTCAAGAGTGCGTTCGATTCGGTCGATCGATCGATTCTGTTCGAATTACTTGCGCGAAAAGGTGTTCCCACGAAATATGTGAACATCCTTCGTGCTCTATACTCGAACATTACAGGCCGCGTCAGGGTCTATGGTGTCCTATCGGATAGCTTTCCGACCACAAGTGCCGTTCGACAGGGTTGTCCCGTTTCCCCATTCTTATACAATTTCCTCGTGGATGCTATCATGGAGTGTTCTGTTGCGAAATCACACGATGTAACCGTTGAAGTGTTGCGTGGTGAAAGGATAGTTGATCTACATTATACGGATGATATCGTTTTGGTTTTCGACGATGTTGGGGCGGCACAAACAACTCTGAATAGCCTGTCCAGAGTGGTCGCATTGCTTGGTACGCACTTCTCACCTTCAAAGTACAGAGTGTTGCTGCAGGACCACCAGCCACTTGATGACCCCTTGACTCTTGCTAACGAGAAACTCGAGGTGGTTAATCATTTCACTTATCTTGGCAACTACATCAGCAATGATGGGCGCATAGAAACTGACATCTGCTCACGCATTGCAAAAGTCAGAGCCACCTTCTTGAACCTGCGGCATCTTTGGCGACAGAAGGGAGTCTCCCACCGTCTGAAAGGCCGTGTATACAAGGCCACAGTGAGGGCCGTTCTGCTCTATGGTAGTGAGAATTGGCCCCTTCGGTCTGGAGATCTGAGGCGCCTTCAAGTCTTTGACCATCGTCGTCTGTGAAGCATTGCTGGTGTCGGATGGCACCAGCGTGTCCGCAACGATGATGTGCGTAGGCGAGTACTAGGAAGTGATAATCATGCTAGCTCACTAGAACAACAGATAGCACTGAATAATTTGCGTTGACTCGGGCACGTGCTACGTATGCCTGGTCACCGCTTACCTAGGAGGGCCTTGTTTAGTCTGCCAGGTGTAGGGTAGCGCAAGGCTCGAGGTGGACAGAAGTTTATTTGGCAACGGGAAATGAAGTCACTGATTAGCAAACTGGGTGCCGTTGGTCCGTCTCGCCTTCCGGGCTGGAGTCCACGTGACTCGCCTTGTGCTTGGCTCGAGACTTTACAGGACATGGCTCGCGGTAGACACCAGTGGCGCGTCTGCTGCTGTCTCCTAATCGGATTGTCTGTTTAAAGTGTGTTTGGTGCTGAGTTATCTGCGCGGTAATGGCTGAGTATGACGCGCGTCAGTGAATGCCGAAAGGAGGCTCTCTCGCCCAGGCCACCTTATCTTTGCACGATAGCCAGCTGTTTGTAACGGTATGTTGTTTACACAAGGTGTAGGCGCCTTGACCCTGAATATTTGCTTATGGCATTAAGGTTTTCAGGTAAGTACCCCTTCTCTCCTTATTATTGTTTATTTCATAGGTCCTCATGGTTGTATGGCAGTGAAGCATTAGTTCGAATGGCTGATGTACTGCTGTTGA